AATTTAGTTTTTAAAAAGTGGAACCCAGAGCTTCCCATAGGAACCCCTCTGTGGAACTGCCAGTGCCAAAAGATGACCTGGAATATGTTATCATGAAACTTAGAGTGGGAAGAAATCCTTTGAAAAGAAGGACCAAATCTAGCCCTCAGCCCCTGATACTGAGCAACAGACTGAGGGTAGAAACTGTGCCTTATTTCACTTTTCTCCCAAGTGCCTAGCCCTTGTTTACCAAACAGTCTAATACCACACCATTATCTCCTTGGAACAGCAGAATGATTAAGAGCATGAGCTTTCGAGTTGGATAGGTGTAACCCCCTTCATTGAAAAAAGATGGCTTTTTACATGGAAATAATTGAAAAGGAACTCTACCTCACACCATCAAAAATCAATACCAAATAGATTAAGAAAACAAAGGTCAAGGCCAAATTTCAAAACTTTCAGAAGAACTACATGGCGAATACCTTAATGACCTTGGAATAGGATAAGATTTCTTAGTCAAGACACAAACCTTGCTAATTATACAAGAAAAGACGCATAAATATTGTAACCCAAAATTCGTTTGTCAAAAGAGTCTCCAATGAAAGTAAAAATACAAGATACAAACTCGAAGAAAATATTGGAAATATATATAGCCAATAAAAGATTAGTTTCAGAAATATATAAAGGACTCCTACAAATAAGAAAAACCTCAACATAGCATAAAAATGGGCAAAAACCATAAAGAAGCATTTCATAGAACAAGAAACACACATGGAACCAGTCAATTTAGCCTGTGGACATGGAGGAGTTAGTGAAATAAAATGAAGCAACATTTTGGGTTGGCTTCAAGTTTTAAATAAAAGTTGCATTTCATATTTATTTTTTTTAAAAAATAAACACACATGATCAATCAACCTATAAAGAGATGTTCACATCACCAATAATCAGGAAGAGGCAGATAACATTTTGTCTCCATCAAATGCTGGTTTACATCCATTTGGTTGACAAATCTAAGAAGTCTGACGATACCAAGTGTTGGATATTGACAGGGTCTCATACACATTGTGGTGGAAACTGAAAAACCACGTAACATTATCTTGTAAGGTTGAATGCCTGCACACCCAGCAAATCTCCTAGGTATTCACCTAATTTCTGTAGGGATATACCCAAGAGAAAATTTAGCACGTGTATAAGGAGACACGTATACAAAAAATAATCACGGTTGAACTTATCAAGATAGCAAAACACTGGAAACAATCTCAATACCCACTGAAAGAAGAACGCATAAATAAATCATAGTATATTCATAAAATGTGATATTCTATGGCATGAAAACAAAAGAGCCACAGAGACATTCTTCCACATGGATGAATCTATGTTGAACAACCTGATAGACTTTTTATAAAGTTCAAAAACTATGCAAAATTAAAACTTAAGCTAAGCTAAATAATATGCCATTTACGCACTTACTGCCACTAAAAAAAAAAAAAACACTTTCTAAAAGAGGCAGGGGAGGGCTTCCCTGGTGGTGTAGTGGTTAAGAATCCACCTGCCAATGCAAGGGAAACGGGTTCGAGCCCTGGTCCGGGAAGATACCACATGCTGCGGAGCAACTAAGCCCACGCACCACAACTACTGAGCTTGCGTTGTAGAGCCCACGAGCCACAACTACTGAGCCCGTGTGCCACAACTACTGAAACCCGCACGCCTTAGAGCCCATGCTCTGCAACGAGAAGCCACCGCAATGAGTAGCCGGCGCACTGCAACGAAGAGCAGCCCCTGCTCGCCGCAACTAAAGAAAAGCCCGCGTGCAGCAACAAAGACCCAATGCAGCCAAAAATAAAATAAATTAAAAATAAACTCAAAAAAAATTTTTTTTTAAAAGAGGAAGGGGAATGGTAAACACAGCATTCATGGTAGTGCTTATCTCTGGGAGGAGACAGGGAAGGGAGAGAAGAAAACACAAAGGCAACTGTACATTATTGGTGATATTCTAGCCTTGCTTTGGGCAGGGGGCGGTCAGACGTATTTATTATATTTTTAAGCAGGCATACATGCATAAAATAAAGCAAAATAAAAGATGGACTTCAGTGGACCAAAGGGGCTAATGTGTCACGAACCAAAGATTATGATTAATCCAATTCTGTGAAACTAAGATCCAATCAATAGGAAATCCTGGGTACATTACACGCTACTCATAGGGGCCAGATTAAGTTGCTTTAACATCTTAATCTCAGCCTTCTTGACTGCTGTATAAAACCGTGAGCTATTATAAAGATTAACTGAGTCATAAATGGAAGCTAATATATTTTTTATAATAGCGTTATTGAGACATAACTCACAGCCCATACCATTCACCCATTTGAAGTCTACAATTCAGTGGTTTTTAGGGTATTCAGAGTGGTGTAACCATCACCACAATCAATCTAAGAACCTTTTCACCACTCCAAAAAGAAACCCTGTACCCATTAGCAGTGATCCCCCCATGTCCCCCCATACCCCGCTACCCAGCCCTAGGCAACCACTAATCTACTTTCTGTCTCTACGGATCTGTCTGTTCTGAACATTTCACATACAGGTAAAGGCAATCATATACTATGTGGTCTTTTGTGATGGGAACCCATTTTTTTTCTCTTTCCCACAAATTCTTACAGTGGAGCTGTGTGAATCCCTGCTGGCTGCTCATATTAATATCAGCTGTAATCAGAACCATCAACATAGTTTTCTTTGAAACAGCTGAGCACTATCTAGCATCAAAACACTGCGATATGTTGTCTTATGCACACAAGTCTAACAACACCCTGTGAGGTAGGTGTACAGAAGCCAAGCTACTTGGTCACAGGAGTAGTTACTGGTTCAAAGCAGGGATCCACACCCCTGTCTGTCTCTGGAGTCCAGGATCTTAATCACTACCTGATAATCCCTCTATATATGATGAAATGCCATTCTTTTGGGGGTGGAAGGGAGTGTAATTAGCTTCATTATAATACAATGACTTTTTCTGTTCTGGTGAAGCTAACTTGCAGTTTCCACTGCGATGGAATAGGGTTAAGGGCTTGAGGTATTCTTTATCTGACTACAGTGATATCCAATGTCGAACTTTTTCCTAGAAAAACTTACCTGTGGGAAGAGTGAAGATTATCACTCAGGAGAACGCATGCCAATGAATGAGTAGGAGACTGCTGACTTAAGGGCTGGTAAAGGAGAGAGCTCGCTAAGTCCCTAATTACTGGTGTTAAGGATGAACCTTCCTGTTCTGATGTCCCTGTGGGTACCAAGTCAGAGAAACAGGAGGCGGTATTTTATGGGCATTGGGACAGATTTTCTCTAATGTCCAGCAGCAACCACTGCATATTGGAAGTAAATGACAGATAACAAGGAAATGAGGAGGGGCGACCAGTGAAACCTAATTTGACTTAATACATATATTTAAACTACTGTGAATATTGTTACTCTGCTAGGCCATGGAGATTCCAGAATTTCTATAAAGGAGGGTCAGTGTTTTAGTTGGAAGAAGGCAGTCGGGAGGGCATTTTGACACTAGTTTTACAAAGCAGATAACACCGTGTTTACTTTGATTACATATTTATTTGGAGGAAGGGCTGTCGCTTTTGGAAATTTACCTTCCCACAGAAAGACACAAAATTCATGGCCCCTTTTTTTAGTTTTTTAAGGAACCTCCATACTGTTCTCCATAGTGGCTGTATCAACTTACATTCCCACCAACAGTGCAAGAGGGTTCCCTTTTCTCCACACCCTCTCCAGCATTTATTGTTTCTAGATTTTTTGATGATGGCCATTCTGACCGGTGTGAGATGATATCTCATTGTAGTTTTGATTTGCATTTCTCTCATGATTAGTGGTGTTGAGCATTCTTTCATGTGTTCGTTGGCACTCTGTATATCTTCTTTGGAGAAATGTCTGTTTAGGTCTTCTGCCCATTTTTGGATTGGGTTGTTTCTTTTTTTGATATTGAGTTGCATGAGCTGCTTATATATTTTGGAGATTAATCCTTTGTCAGTTGCTTCATTTGCGAATATTTTCTCCCATTCTGAGGGCTGTCTTTTCATCTTGTTTATGGTTTACTTTGCTGTGCAAAAGCTGGCATATAGCCTGAGAAAACCATAATTCAAAAAGAGTCATGCACCACAATGTTCACTGCAGCACTATTTACAATAGCCAAGACATGGAAGCAACCTAAGTGTCCATCGACATATGAATGGATAAAGAAGATGTGGCACATATATACAATGGAATATTATTCAGCCATAAAAAGAAATGAAATTGAGTTATCTGTAGTGAGGTGGATGGACCTAGAGTCTGTCATACAGAGTGAAGTCAGAAAGAGAAAAACAAATACCATATGCTAACACAAATATATGGAATCTAAAAAAACAAATGGGGGCTTCCTTGGTGGAGCAGTGGCTAAGAATCTGCCTGCCAATGCAACGGACTCGGGTTTGAGCCCTGGTCCGGAAAGATCCCACATGCCGGGGAGCAACTAAGCCCACGCACCACAACTACTTAGCCCACGTGACACAACTACTGAAGCCCGCGTGCCTAGCACTCGTGCTCTGCAATAAGAGAAGCCACCGCAATGAGAAGCCTGCGCACCACAACAAAGAGTAGCCCCTGCTCACCGCAACTAGAGAAGGCCTGTGTGCAGCAACAAAGACCCAACGCAGCCAAAAATAAAATAAATAAAATTAAATTAATTAATTTTTTTAAAAAAGTTAGTTTCCTCCTTTAAAAAAAATCGGTTCTGATGAACCTAGGGGCAGGACAGGAATAGAGACGCAGACGTAGAGGATGGACCTGAGGACACAGGGAGGGGGGAAGGGTAAGCTGGGACGAAGTGAGAGAGTGGCTTTGACATATACACAGTACCACATGTAAAATAGATAGCTAGTGGGAAGCAGCCGCATAGCACAGGGAGATCAGCTCTGTGCTTTGTGACCACCTAGAGGGGTGGGATAGGGAAGGTGGGAGGGAGACGCAAGAGGGAGGGGATATGGGGATATATGTATACGGATAGCTGATTCACTTTGTTATACAGCAGAAACTAACACAACATTGTAAAGCAATTATCCTCCAATAAAGATGTTTAAAAAAAAATTCATGGCCCCTTCTTCCTTACTTAGCCTCAAGGGAGCTTAACAGGGCCTGGTTAAGCAAGGAAAGTCATCAAACTTTCTTCGACAGCTCAGAAATCCCTGGGGTTGAGTTGAGTTTTCGGTGAAGGGTTCGTGTTGGTGTCAAACCAGTTCCCACCATCTCGTCACCGTGCACACTGACAGCCAGGGGACACGCACTCAGGTCTGAGACCTGAAGAAAGAAACACCTGGCCGTGATTACCTGCAACTATACGGTTAACTTTTTATTAAATAGTTTCATGATCTGTTTCCAGGAGCGCGGGGACTTCAAAAGGAGCCTAGGCTCTAAGGGTCTACCTTTCTGTGTCTGTCCCCGGGCCTGGCCTCCTTCCCACTGTCTACCACAGAGGCTTCTAGCTTTTTCCTCCTTGCTGAGCGCCCAGGATTCCTTTTTCTTTCTCCCTGTACAAGCGGACAGTGAGGCAGAGTCATGTGATACTTTCAGCCCAGCACGGCACGGTGATTCTCAGTCTGCCCCAAATCCCAACTGCAGGTGACAGACCTGACCTCATACCTGACTTCAGCAGGGGAACATTCCTCCCACGCAGAGAAAAAATAAAATAGTCTTGGAAGGAATCAAATTCTAAGTTGGCTAGTTCCTGACAATAAGAGGAAAGTCACTAGTGGCTGGTGAGTGTATATGAAGGGCTCAAGTTGCCTCAGTTATTCTTACCTGGAGCAGGTTTGGCCAGAGGCTGGGTGGTAATTTAAAGCAATAAAGATGGAGACTATGAAAGAGCTGTATTAAATATGGGGTGACCCAGAGTTTTTTTTCCAAAATTCACTAGTATTGATACATAAGCCCCAAGAGGGCATGGATTTTGTTGTGTGGAACTTACAAGGTTCTCAATAAAAAATTATTACATGAATGCATGAAAGCCGATAGGGACTAACGCCGCGGATGATGGATAAACCCGTTTCCATCTGCTGATAGGATTTAGAGCATGGAGAGAAGCCTTCCACGCAAGGGAGGCATCTGCACCCATCACTACCAGCACCAAGCCAGCCCTACAGCCACTGCAAGTACTGCTAAGTACACTAATTGCTATCATTGTCTGTTCTACACCAGGTATCACACCAGGCAATTTACACTGACACTCACATTTAAGCTGAACTTCACAATAACCCTGTGAGGTAGGTATCACCATTTCCATTTTATAGATAAGGAAACTAAAGCTCACAGAAGTAACTTGTTCACAGTCTCACGGTTAATAAACAGCAAACTAAGGATTTTAATGTAGATCTGACTGACCCCAAAGCACATTATTTTTTTACTACACTACCAAGAAGTAAGGGGGAAAGTGATGCCTATTTGTGTGTTGTTATTAAAAGGGGATAGATGCAAGAGGGAGGAGATAAGACACAAGAGGGAGGAGATATGGGGATATATGTATATGTATAGCTGATTCACTTTGTTATACAGCAGAAACTAACACACCATTGTAAAGCAATTATACGCCAATAAAGATGTTAAGAAAGAGAAAAACAGGGAAACCACGTGCCTTGCCATGAGAAAAAAAAGAATCATCCCCAGTCAACTCCAACATGAGTCAATCATTTCCATGTTAATGTTATTATTTATGGTATTGATGCTGTGGTTTACGATTATATTCTTCTAGAATTCATCTCAAGCTTGTAATACATGATCAGACATTTGTATGGGTTCTCACTAATTTACATACACTGTCAGGCATAGAGGAGTCATGTCTTCTGGTGCATGCTCCATCATACTCAGAAGAATGTTAGTCACTGTGTAGAAAGGTCAAGAATCTGACACTTAAAGACTATGTAAATAGTTCCTTGATGCAACATACTTATTAACTGATTATTGTGAAAGATTATGAACCATATTATGCCACCCCTGGAAATGACATATTATTTCACCATATAATTACCAAATTACATTACAATACATGAATCAGGCATTATCAATGCATCCAATGATTTATAGAGCCAAATGTCAAGTCTTCTAGAAAAGAGATGACATGGCATAGTAGATAGGCATCCATTGGTCTGCTAAATATCAGAGAGACTAGAAATCTGCACAAGATGTTGATACAAAAATGAATACATCCCTCACCATTTAGTGAAAGAGAAAAGGCAGAACTGGGATGACAGGGGCTAATGGGGAAAAGATGAAAACAACCTTTTCTCAATCTCCTCTCCTGGCTCTAGGCTAAGCTCTCAAAAATCCACGTCAATGGACCCATAGTTCCTTAACTAATTCATAAATTAATGCAATTTTTAAAAAATCACTTTGACCCACATTTTCCTCCATCTAGTGACCTCTCAGATCACCTTTCCAGCAAAATTCTTCAAGAGTTGTTCATATGAACTTTCTCTTCTCCAGTTCTCTCTCAAACCACTGAAACTGCTCTGAACATGATCACCAGTGACCTCTGAGCTGTCAGATGCAATGGTCAACCCTATCCTTGACCTCCCAGTTATACTTGATAGTCAATCACCCTCTCCTCCAAGAAACACTTCACTTCCAGAATATCAGTCTCACTACTTTTTTTCAGTTTCCTCAGCATCTTCCTAATTCCTTCAACCCCTAGAAGCTGGAGACCCCCAAGTTTCAGTCCTTGGAATGCTTTTGTTCTCTAGGCGATCTTACCCAGTCCTTCCTGTTCAAATACAGTCTAAGTATCAACGGCCCCACATTCATATCTACAAGTCTGACCACTCCCTGAATGCCGACTGACTCACCTTCTGCCCACTCTACACCTCCATTTGGATATCGAATAGGCATTTCAAACCTTACTTGTCCCAAACTGAACTTCTGATTCTCCCTACCCCCCAAATCTGCTTCACTCATAATCATCTTAACTCAGCTGATGCAACTCCATTCTCCTGATTGTTCTAGCCAAATACCTTAGTGTCATCCTCGACTCTTCCATTTCTCCTACATGTCTTAGGAAATCCCATTGGCTCTACCATAAACATCTTTCCCGATTCTAAGCACCCCTCTGCATCTTACAGCTGTTGCCCCAGTTGAAGCCATGACTATTTTTTATTTTAAATTTATTTATTTATTTATTTTTGGCTATGTTGGGTTTTCGTTGCTGCGCACGGGCTTTCTCTAGTTGCGGCAAGCAGGGGCCACTCTTCATTGCAGTGCGCAGGCTCCTTATTCCGGTTGCTTCTCTTGTTGTGGAGCACGGGCTCTAGGTGCACGGGCTTCAGTCGTTGTGGCACGCAGGCTCAGTAGTTGTGGCGCACAGGCTTAGTTGCTCCATGGCATGTGAGAACTTCCTGGACCAGGGCTCGAACCCGTGTCCCCTGCATTGGCAGGCAGACTCTTAACCACTGCGCCACCAGGGAAGTCCCTGGAGGGAGTGAATCTTGAGGAGCAGGTAAGAATTAACCAGGCAGGTGAGAATGGAAGAGGATTCTGAGCAGAGGAAGTGGCAACTGGACACCCCTCGAGGCCTGAGAGAACTCGGCAGATTCAGTAACTTACAAGTAGTTCTAAATGGCTCTGAAGGACCCTCGCCATGAATATTCATGTTCTTTCAAGGATCTCTTGCAAAGCGGCACCCCTTCATCCCAGGGTCATCAAGCCATTGCTAGACCTGTTCTAGGGAGAGTCCTGAAGCCTGAGCTGGCTAATTGCTCCCTGGCTTAACAGGTCCCACCTGAGGACCAGAAGCTGGGGGTGGCGGGACAGGTAGGAGGCGAAGGTAGAAGAGGAGAGAGGAGCTCTCAGATTAATCCTGGGAGTTCATTACCCTGGAAAGGTGGGTCCAGGAAAGCCACGTCTGGCAGGTAACGGGCCTTGCCCGTGTGACTCGGCAGCCTCAGCATGGCAGCCACACTGAGTCGGCTGAAGGAAGCAGAGGTCCACAAGGCCCAATGAGCGAGGCTGTAAAGAGCTCACTGAAATGCACTGCAAAACCATTCATGGTCCCAGCAAGATGCTTCAAAACCAGGCCCAGAACTAATACAAAAAGAGGGCGTCTTGATCCCAGTTCACAGTGCATGTGGGCAAGCCGCGCAGCACCTGCCAGGAGGCCTTAGTTCCGTGCAAACTGGGAAGCTAAGTCCCACTGAATGTGCAGCCCACTGGTAGAGGTCCACTGGCTCCCAAAGGCTCTGGGATTTAGATCCTCAGCCTCCACAATGAGGCAGCTTCATGCTTCTCTTGCTTCTCCCACTGAAGCACCCCGAAGTGCTTTCCCAGGGAGGGTTCTTTGTCCCATTAGGTGGATGAGGTTCAGAGAAGCCAAGTCTTGCCTGCAGCCAACCTGCAAGTCAGTTCCCGAGGAACTGAGACCCAGACCTCCCAGGCTAGCATGGCTATTGGATGGCGCACTCCCAGAGACTCAGAGGACAGCAGAGGCCACGGTGCCAGCCTTCCTGCGTGGGAACTGAGGCAGACAAAGGAGACAGGCAGGCAGGTGTGGGGCGCTGCAGATCCCTCAGCAGAGCAGGAGGAACAACCCAGAGCGCATGTCCCCCACAGGGGGTGTCAGTTGTAAATGAACGACATCAGTAGTGAGGTCAGTAGCTGTATCATCATAAAATGCTGGCGTTGGAAGGGGCCCTGGGAGACGTCAATCCGATTCCTTTTGTTTTCTGGTGAGGAGATAGATTCAGAAAGACTAACTCGCTGCCCAAGGTCACACAGCTGACTCAGGCCAGAGCGAGGACGGGGGCCTGTGCATCTTAAGCACTGACCTCGTGCTCTTTCCAATGCCAGACACTCTTACAATGAGCACCTGTTCTCTGATGGCAGCTTGAAACAAGGTCAGCCAGCTTCTCCCCTCTGCTTTCCTGCCATCGGAACAGAGATGGTGTGGAGAAACCAAGAGTGTGAGGGGTGGTGTGCCCTGCTCGGACCTGTAACCTAAGACTCAAAACCCCCCGAATCTTCCACTCATTTGGTCTTGGAGGCAAAATTAGCACAGTCACGGAAAAAAAGGCTGGGAAATCTCACAGAGGTTCTTGGACAGCCAGCTTCTGGGAGCTGGTGAACCTGCTCTCACCAATGTGGTCAGGCCCACTCCGGGGCAGGGCTCTAAGGGAGACGTGTCTGGAAGTGTTCTCAGGCTTCCTGCCTGGGCCTTCCACGATCATGGCTCTGGGCAGAGGTGGCAGCTGCCAGCGGGAGGCTCTCCCATCACTCCCCCACCAGGTGTTCTTCCCCGCAACCACAGCAGCTTGGCAGGGAGAGCCACCACGGGGTGCTGGGCGGGCAAAGAGGTGCAGCTCTCTCTCCTGTGCCATCCAGGTGTCAACAGGTGGGTTATGGATCTGCCCCTCCCTTAACAAATAAACAGGACTTTTACAGGCTGAGTAATCCCACACGGGATAAGCCAGACTGTCAGTCATCCAGCTTTCCCAGATAGGATCTAACCTCCCTAGTCCCGGATCACAGAGCCAGGCCCAATTCCTGTAAGGAGCAGTGTTTCTAGAAGGCTGGCCATCCTGGGGGCAGCGGCGAGGCGGCATGTCCCCCCCACGGAGTCACAGGGAGCCAGGTAGTCCTGGGAGCCGCCACTCGTCCTTTAGACCCCCGCCCCCCGCCCGCGGTGGCAAACGTCCCCTGCAGTTCCCCCAGTCCGCGTGCTCGTGTCTCTGCGCAGGTGCTGCCCATCCTCCCGTTCAGCCCCTGCGAGAGCAGACAGTGAAACGCGGACAAGACGGCTGAAGGAAGGAAAAAGCCCCCTTGCTGGGAACGGCCTCGGCCCCAGACCTCTCCACCCTCTCCTGACAGCCTTCTAACCTCAGGAAAACAGGCCAGGAGGCAGCTCTTGGGCCATCTTCCTCTTTCTTCTGATTCCTGTCCAGTGCCTGGCCTCTGAGTGAGAGGGGCAGTCTGGCTGGGTCCTGGGGTCAGATTGTCCTGGGGTCACTTGCTTAGATGTCACTTACCTTTCTGAACCTCAGTTTCCTCATCTGCAAAATGGGGACAGGAACACCTCCCCTCCCCACCTCACCTAATTATGAGAATTTAGTGAGTTTGAATAAAGGAAAGCTTGAACATGCCGGGGAGGACTCCACTCCCACACCAGATCCGTCCTCACCTTGTTCCTGTGGGCAGTCACTTCCAGACACTGCTGAGTGACAAGTGGGCTCCCACCCGATGGAGGGTAAACGAGGTGGGCCCTGGGGTTCCCATTTGCCCTCCCTCCTTCCTACACATATTCTACAAGCGTAGTACCAGGCACTGTTCAAAGGCACAACAGACAAAATCCCTAACGTCAAGGGGGCGGGCAGCAGAACTAACGTCCCCGATGCCAACGGCCTGATTCAGGAGAGATGCACTTTCGGACAACACACCGTCTCAGCCTTCCACAAGCCCCTGATTGATAAATACCAGTAATGATGGGAGAGCTTTCTGGATCTTTCAGGCCCAAACACCAGCTGAGAAGCTGGAGAAACCAGCAATCCAACTCGCTCCGAGTGGTCGACCACCTCCCACCTTCTGACTGCACACAAGCCTGGTTTTCAGCGCGGGGTCACGCTGGGGTGAGCCGTCAATCTGGGCGCTGGCGCTGCTCACCTCTTAGTCACAACCTCCAGGTTTTTAACTCCCAAGCGATGAATTGGCACTTTTCACCGAGCGGAGGGGTGACTACTGGACCCTTGAAAGCCTCATTAAGCTCCGTGACTTAATGACTCTCCTGTTTAATGGCAGCAAAAGCCGTTTAAGTGGCCACAGCTGCCAGGAACGGGGGGAAAAGAGTGCAACTTTGCGAGCAGGTCGGGAGCAGCGCCAGTAATCCCCCCTCCCCCGCCGCTCCCCCGCCCTGATCTAGGCCTGTTTTGACAGCTCCGGAGCCGCCCCGCGGGAGAGCAGGGAGGCTGCTCCTTTCCCTTTCCGCGGTGCTCTCCTCCAGCCCATCTTTTGCCGCAGGGGGAAGGAAGAACAATCAGGCATTGTCTTCTGCAGGCCCGGTGCGCCAGGGCCTCCTGGAATAATTGTTATTTGCCTCGGAGGGGAACTGGCTGGGAGACAGCTCCCAGAGTAGGGTCAGGGCTGCAGAGGAGGGGACGGAGAGCCGTGATGCTTGGGTTTGGTTTTACTGTGAGTTTAATCTTTTTCTCCCTCAGTTCTGCGCATTTCCCCCGCCTCCCCACCCAGAACAGGCCATTAAGCAGGAAGCCAGTGCTGCACAGGGGCTCTGCTAAGAAGAAACAAAAGGGATTTTCTGCGGCGTGTGCCCCTGGTCACTCCCTGCCCACCTCCGGGTGAGCAAAGGGTGTGCACTCTGGGGACTCTCGAAGGCTGCAAAGAACATCACGGAGTGGCCCATCTGCCATGGCAACCCCTGGGCACCCAGATGTGGTTTACGGCTCTGTCCCTAAACTCCTCAGCAAGTACTGCCAGGGCAGCAGCCCCCTCTGTGGGTCTGGGGAGACTGGGGCCCCAGATTATCAGAAGCAGTCAGCATTTGTTGAATTCCTACTGTGTACCGCTCACCAGGTGCAGCTCCCTTCTCCTTCGTGTCTTTTGCGCCCCGAAAGCCTCGCATCTCTCCAGAATAACAACTCAAGGCCAACCATTTAATATGAGACAGACATTTGAGGGGCCACTCCAGGAAGGCCAAGCCCCCGGCCGTCTCAGGAGAAGTAGGGGGTAGGAAACACAGGGCCGTGCTGCCTGTGACAGCCACCAAGCCCCCGGGCAGTGAAGGGACACTGCTGCGCAGTCAGAAGTCCCCCTTTCCTAACCACGAGCCTTTCCTTCATCCTTCAAATCCACTCTGGGAACAAGCTACCTACCCAACAGCCATGACAACAGCTACCGACGATTTAAGTACGTACTGTATATCGGGCACTGTGCTAAGTGCATTAAGTATACCATCTCATTTAACAGAATGATACCTGTTCAGTCCAATTCCATAGGTTGGAAATGAAGCTTGGAGAGGGTTCGGAACTGGTCCAAGCTTACACTGTTACTAAGAAGGCTTCAAACCCACCTCTATCTGCCCCCAAAGTCCTAACCTCTCAGAAGCCCTTCCCAGAAGTGGGGATGGATTTGGAAAACTCTCCCACGCCCTTGTGTGCCACTTCCCCCTCTCAGCCAGGACACACCTTTGCCAAGGAGGGTACACTCTAGGACCGTGGTTCTTTGGGCCATCCTGCCACCTTCACGCGCTGGGGATCCTTTGCTCCCAGAGGGCAGAGCCCCTGTCTGTGTACTTTACTCAATTATTTTTGTATACAAAATAGTTCAGTGCCATGTACAATTAGAGATTTAATACACGCTTTTTAAGGGTGATAAGGATCTCACCACCTCAGCCAGTGAAATAAACATTGCCCCCCCTTCCTCAAGCAGAAACAAAGAGCCAGAGAAGGCTGAGCCACCCCGGGCACCCAGCACGGTGCTGGAAACACAGGCATGTGAGTCCACAGGCCTGGCTCACACGCTAGCCAGCTGACCTTGGGAAGCCAAGGTTCTTCAAATGTGGGGGAAGGTCACAACGCAAACACAATAACCTTACAGGTAACTGTGAAGATTCGGTGAGAACGTGCCCACAAAGCTCCTAGCAGTCTTACCTGGCAGAGCAGGTGTTCAATGTTGCTTTCCTTACTCAGTGCATCTTCTTTCTTTCAACGGAGCTCTCATTATGAACAAATCTTGATTCACCTCTGCCTTGGGGACATTCCCACCACCAACCACTGCTGGCACTCTCAGTGCCTCAGTTTCTGCATCTGTAAAACAGCAAGGGACAGATGACTTAATATACGTTAAGTCCTTAGAATGGTGCCTAGTACACAGTAGTTATTAAATAATTACAGGTATTTTATAAATGTTGTTACTGTTATTCTCTCTCAAAGTTTTGTGAGGAATACCTGAGATGACGTATGTGAAAACACGTTATAACCTGCAACGATGAGCCCTCGTACACACTGAGAGGGTGAGAGGGGGAAAGACCTGGCCTCAGACATGTATTTGATCAGTTTCAAAACCCTCAACATGAAACACCAAACCACTCCTCCAAAAAAGCAGTCATTCACCTTCTGGTTTTTGTTTGTTTGTTCTATTTCAATTAAGACCAGATCTTCCATGTTATGTGTCTGTTTGCATTTCATTTAGGTATCCTCCATCACCGCATACCATGGGCAACGTTAAAGAAGCAGCGCCTGGTCTAAGCAGTCCTTGGATGTCTTAGTGTGTATTCTCTATACAGTTAAGTTCTGTCTCTCCCTCTCAGGTAATCCAGGCAGGCAAGCCACCCAGTGAGGGGGAGTTGCTGCTGGAGGATTAATGGCTGAAAGCCCACTAATACCACCCCTCAAGGGCTCTTAGCAAAAGCTCCTGGGCCCACCTTTGGCCAGGTTTAGAGTGTGTCTGGTCAATTAGCCAAACAACAGTCACTGAGTGCGACTTTGTGCCCAGCACCGTGATAGAAACCACGGGGCACGTAAAGGAAGTGCCTGTGCCACGGGCCCTGCCCTTATGAAGATCACCTGACTGATGGAATAAGACGGAAGAAAATGAAACAATGAGAGAATCATAAAAAGCAGTGACATAATGAAGGGTTAGACTTTATGGCCCAGAATATAAACACTGGGCCATGGAGTAAAGGGAGATGGGTGAAGGCTAGTGAGGGAGGGGAAGGACTCGTGCAGGAAGAGTTTGTCAGCTGGGCCCTGATGGATGTGTAGGAGTCGCATTGGTGTAAGGGAGAGCGGCATTCCAAGTTGGGAAAACTGTGTGAGAAATCTAGGAGGTAGAAGGGCTGTTTATAGGACAGAGATGAACCAGGCATGTCTGGAGCAGGAGTGCCGCCTAACTGCCAAACCTATCACTGCTTTTCAAGAAACAGGAAAATGAATTCCTACTGGTAATAAAACTAGTTGAAGGTGGTCCAGTTTGTCCTACTTTGCCCCCCACATTAGCTACAGGTGAACTTTAGCAAGTCACTTAAGCCCTGGGAGAGTCGCTCTCCTCCCCTGTAAAATAGGGATGGTAATACACGTCTATCAGTAAGTGTGATAAGTAAAACGTGGTGATTCCCAGGGGCAAGTGCTAACAGACAGGTAATGAGGGCAGTTCTCCCCCCAGCTCTCAGGCGGTGTCTCCCCGCTCACGCAAGGATGCAGAACCCAGCTCTGTGTCAGTTTCCTGCTGTTGACCTTGATCCACAAGGGGTGCAGGAGAAGCCTGCCTCAGGCCCAACCCCAGAAAGCACGCTCGCCCCTGACTGCGTGGGGACAGAACAGATACCCTCCAACTGCACAGCGCCCTTCGGAGCTGGGGCTTTCTGAACCGAGCCAGGGGGTCCCGGCCAGGGAAGGGAATCCTTCTCCTACCTTGCCACTCTCTTCTCTCTCCTCCTCGAGAGCACAGGGAGGTGGGAATGGCCTAAGGACAACTTCTCAGAAGTGCTGACTGGCCCGAGGAAACAAAGGTGGTGGGGTCAGGAGTCGCCCGGCGGCATCGGAGCGCAGCTCAGAGAGGCGCCCGAGGAAGAAACGAGTGTGTTTGTGCGCAGGGCCGCGGGGGCTGCTCGGGTGGGAAACAAACCACCGACTGAGACGCGCTGGAAGAAAGCAGTAGCTGACGGACCAGTCCCGCATCTCCTGACAGTGCCCTCGGCCAGCTTTCAGGGCCCTGAGTCCAAGTTTCCGCCACAGACTCAGGGCCGAGGCTGTTCCCCAAACGCTCGACAGCTGTTTCCCCACCGTGCCTCGCGAAGATTCGCAGCTCAGCGCACCTGCCCTCTCCTCCCATCCGGCCGCCCAGACGGAATCGCTGAGAAGGGAGGGTGGCCGCGGTGTCCGGGGACGCTGCCCGTCTGCCCGCAGCGCGGAGCCCGGCTGTGCGGCCGGAGGGGACCGCCGGGACTCGGGCTCCCAGGGCTCCGCGCCGGCCTCCTTCCTCCCGCGCCAGAGAGCGCGCGGCGGCGGCGACGCCCGCACTGCTTAGGAGACCCTCCGGGGCGGCCGCGGGACGCGCGGCTCCTGCGCACGCGCGCGTCCACTGCCCGCAACTCCGCGCTGCGCCCTCGGCGTGGGAGGGGGCGGCACGACAGGCCGTGTGCGTCCGCGTTTCTGTGCGTGTCTGCGCGAGCGCGCACGTGTGAGCCCGTGTGTGTCGGTGCATGTGCGTAGCCGTGCGTGCACGTGAGCACGAGCGAGGGTTGCGGGGCACGGACACGCGCGTGTGTGCGTGTGCGCGCGCGTACGTGTGAAGAGGAACCGAAAGGGAACACCCTACTAGGGAATTCTAAGCAGCCCAAGACAGCTTGAAGCCACTGGAGAGAAACCCCTAGAACGTAGGCTCCTTGAGGGGGAATTTGCGTTTGTTCACTACCGTATCCCTAGTGCCCATTACGGTACCCCGTAGTTAGGAGGCGCTTAATAAATAGTTGTTGAGTTAATGGCTGGATCCCGGGGGTGGAGGGAGGGCCTTCTGGAACTGCAGAGAGTGAGAACAAAGCCGCATTTCACTTGCTTGGCTATTCTTCCTAGTACCAGCCCTGGCTCTCCCTCCAGCCCAGCCCTTCTCCACATCCAGGGGGTGCCAGGTTTACTTCCCTGCTCCCACTCTGCCACCTTCTCCCCCTTGACCTCTCCGTTTCCCCGTCTTTGGCCTGTTAGCCCACCGCTGTCAGAGAGGGGGCAGACAGGAAAGCAAAGGAGCTGAGCTCTGCCGGTTGAACACTGCACCGGGGGCCTACCCCTTCTGGAAGCAAATGGTCAGCTCCTCCACTGGGGTATTAGCCTCTGAGCTTCACTTTCCCCACTTTAAAATAGCAGCCTTTACATTGTCTCACAGCGTTGCTGAGAAGAGTCAAGGAGATAGATAGTGGAAGAAAAAATTCTAGAACACCTGGTGGGGCCTCCAGAAATGTTAGTTTCCTTCCTGAGGAGTAGGCAACATTCTGGAAGTGCCCCGTGTGTGGCTCGGGATTGCTTATGGTTTGGTAATCAGTGCCAGAACACCCCTCCTTTTTGCACAAGATGCCTCGAGGGGAATTTAATGGTAGCTGAAAACTAAGGCAAGCCTCATTTCTAAAACATTTAGAAGTTAATATGCTATGAGTCATGTAATGTGCTGGGGCTTCCTCAGGCTCAGGAGGAAGCTTTCCCAAGTAATTAAACAATCACCTTGGGGCCAACCTGAAGTGCCCCAGCTCAGGCCTCTCCACTTGTGGACCTTCCTCTGCCCACACCGGCTGCCTCCACAGCTACTGGGGGAAATTAGCAACTTCTTCCTTAAGCCGTAGGAGACACTGTGTGAAAACTTAATCCTACAATAACATTTTTCATCACTAAAGGATCAGATTTCACCCTTCTCAACCTGATTTAAGGACCCACCAGAAATAACAACCTTCATGGGGTAATTAGGAAATTATCCTCTTACAAATTGGTAGATGTCTCCTTTCTTTTCCTTGGGATGAGATGGGAAGGGTATTATTTTTCTTTTTCCATGGTGAAGCTGCTGTGATTAACCACACCACCCGGCTAATTGTTCACTTGTGGGTAAACTGATAGCCTGCCGTTCCAGAGTGTGCCTGCCAACGCACTCCAGAATAACATGTTACAGCCTCCGAGTGGCTCTTCCTGATGAAAGGGAAACTTCAGTCATATTTAGTTAAAGGAGCTCTTGAAACCTGGCCTGTCAATACCGTGGAGGTGGAGAATTACACCAAGGTTAAGCAAAGGTTTTCTAGAACTGGCTAGATGTTCATTTGTTTAAAGAGCTTGGGTGCATTCAGTCTGAGCCTGATCAGTACTGCCTGTTTCTAGGCTTGTGGAGAACAGTGCAAATATTCCAGAGAACCCCCGAGGTCCCTAAGGGACCCAGAAAGGATTTTTATTTGACAGCAAGGAGAAATTCCAGCTGAAGATTTCTAAATGCTGATCTGTTTTAATTAAGAAATCTTCTAAGATGTTATTGGAAATGAGACCAGAACTCGAAGGTAAAAATGGAATTAACATCAGCCTCCCTTTTCCACTCTGACATATTCTATCTCATTACCCTTTTCTCCCTCTCTCTCTGTCTCTCTCTGTCTCTGTCTCTGTCTCTGTCTCTCTCTCTCTCTCTCTCTCTCACACACACACACACACACAGAGCAACCATCCAACAGTCTTTTTTTTAATTAATTAATTTTATTTATTTTTGGCTGTGTTTGGGTCTTCGTTGCTGCACGCAGGCTTTCTCTAGTTGCAGCAAGCAGGGGCTACTCTTCATTGCGGTGCGCAGGCTTCTTATTGCGGTGGCTTCTCTTGTGGTGGAGCATGGGCTCTAGGTGTGTGGCTTCAGTAGTTGTGGCACATGGGCTCAGTAGTTGTGGCTCGCGGGCTCTAGAGCACAGGCTCAGTAGTTGTGATGCCCAGGTTTAGTTGCTCTGCGGCCTGTGGGAGCTTCCCAGACCAGGGCTTGAACCCGTGTCCCCTGCATTGGCAGGCGGATTCTTAACCACTGTACCACCAGGGAAGTCCCCATCCAACAGTCTTGACAAACCTCTTGGATTCATTAAGTCTCTTGGAGTTTTCGATGTGCTAAAAGAGGTACTAAAAGCTATGTCTGTATCTGTGTGTGTGTACATATACACATTTCTTAGCACTTCTGATAGCACTTGATGTATCCGAAGAGCTCACACACACATTCTCTCACTGCAGTCGGCAGAAGAAAGGCTGCCCAGCAGGTGTGGTTTCACCAAGGAGGTAACTGAGACTGAGACTCAGGGAGGTAAACT